GGCGGCTGCTGCTGCTGCTGCAGCTGCTGCTGCTGCTGCTGCTGCTGCTGCTGTTGCTGCTGCTGCTCAGCTCCGAGCTGTGTGCCAGCCACGCGGGCGACGCACGCAGCGACGGATCCGCAGACGACATCTTGCTGCTGCTGCTGTTGCGCTTGCTGCTGCTGCTGCGCTTGCTGCTGCTGCGCTGCTGTTCTTGCTGCTGCTGCTGCTGTGGGAGACAGAAAGCCCTGGAAGGGGGAAGTGGGCTCTCACGCGTGTACACCCCCTGGGAAACAAACCCTAAACCCTAAACCCTAAACCCTAAACCCTAGGGCTTGTTTACACGAGCTTCAAACCCTTGGCTCACAACACCGCCTGCGGTGTCTCGACAGCTGCAGTAGGTCAGAGCCACTTCCAAACCCTAAACCCCAAACCCTAAACCCTAAACCCTAAACCCTAAACCCTTCTCTACCGAGCCAATTTTTAATTCCCTTTCTGCATGATTAAAACATCGGGACACACAGCAGCAGCAGCAGCAGCAGCAAGGTTGCTGCTGCTGCTGCTGCTCCTGTCTCAGAGGGGCCCCAGAGGGCACAGGGGCCCCACTGTTGGGGCTGTCCTTCTGCATGCAAATCCTTCCTGAAATAGGGTTTAAGGTTTAGGGTTTGAGGTTTAGGACCTAGATTTTAGGGTTTAGGGTTTAGGGCTGAGGGTTTGCAGGGAGTTTCCTGCTGCACTCAAAGAAGATCGCCGCCGCGGCGCGAGCAGCAGCAGGAGAGCAGCAGCAGCAGCAGCAAACGCAGCAAAGGCAGCAGCAACAACGGCAGCAGCAGTAGCAGCAACAGCAGCAGTAGCGCTTCTCTGGTCCGGGGCCCGAAGAGCAGCAGTGCTGCTGCAGCCCCCGGCTCAAGTCTCAGGAACGAGGGTTTAGGGTTTAGGGTTTAGGGTTTTGAAAATGAGGGTTAGCCGGCGCAAGAACTTCAAAAAGATAATGCGCTTCTATGCAGCAAACTTCGGCATTCAGGAGCCCTACCAACTCATTGGTAAGAAACCCTAAACCCTAAACCCTAAACCCTAAACCCTCGGTTCCCTAAGCCCGCCGCCGGGCGCCCCCTTGTGGGGGGCTCTTTTGAAACCCTAAAATAGGGGTTTTGCAAACCGTAGCCTCCCCCGCCCACCCTTGAGAGCCCGGGCCTAGGGTTTAGGGTTTAGGGATTAGGGTTTAGGGTTTAGGGTTTGGCTCAGTCGACGGGACCTTCGTGGCGGCCTGTCTTCGCCACAAAGTAAATGCAGCAGAGCTGCTGCCGCGAGTGCTCTGCGGCAAAACCACCATGCGTAAACCCTAAACCCTAAACCCTAAACCCTACCCGAACTTTGACAAACCCTAAACCCTAGCCCCTTTCGCAACAGTCAGCAACAACTGGAGAGCCGATGCAGCCCGTGTTTTGCTGCAGCTGTGCCCTGGAGAAGCAGACTTTAGGGTTTAGGGTTTAGGGTTTAGGGTTTAGGGTTTGTGGCTGCAGTGATGACCCCCTGCATCTTAAAAGAGCTGCGGAGCCTCCCGGGGGCCGAGGGTGCTGCTGCAGCAGCAAAGCGCTACAGACGGTGAGCTGTAAACCCTAAACCCTAAACCCTAGTGGGACTCTAAACCCTAAACCCTGATCCCTTCTGTAAACCCTTTTATTGGACAGCCCGCAGCGGTGGCCCCTTCTAGGGTTTAAGGCTAGGGTTAGGGTTTAGGGTTTAGGGTTTGCGGCTGCTGCGGCTGCTGCAGCTACCCTTGCCAGCATGCTGAACAAGCAGCAGCAGCAGCAGCAGCTGCTGCTGCTGAAGCTGCTGCTGCACTTGCTACCCCAGTCCTAGATGACTCAGATGCAGCAGCAGCAGAAGGAAGCGCAGCAGCAGCAGCAGAAGGAACTGCAACAGCAGCAGTGGCAGCAGATGAAGCAGCAGCACCAGCAAAAGAGGCAGCAGCAGCAGCAGCAGCAGTACACGAAGCTGCAGATGCTGCAGCAGCCCCAGAGCCGCCAAAGAAGAAGAGGAGAGCAGCAACAGAAAGCAGCAGCAGCGCAGCAGCAGCAACAGTTGCAGCAGAAGATAAAAGCGACATGTCGAGCTCACAGCAGCAGCAGCAGCAGCAGCAGCAGCAGCAGCACAAACCCGTTAAAAGGCAGCTTTTCGCGGACAGCAGCGACGAAGGAGACTTTCCCATCAGCAGCAGCAGCAGCAGCAGCAACTCTAGCAGCAGCAGCAGCAGCAGCAAGACCCTAAACATCCCAAAGCAGAAGTTTCTTCACCACCCAGCGCTGGTTGGGGGGGCCCTGCCTGACGACTTCAGCAGCAGCAGCAAGAAGCAGCAGCAGCAGCAGCAGCAGCAGAGCATACAGGCAGCAGCAGCAGCAGCAGCGCGGCACCTAGCGCAGCAGCCAGCAGCAGCTGGGGGGCCCCCCGCCGGCGCACGGGGCCCCCAAGGGGCCCCCCTGGGGGCCCCCAAAAAGGGTACAGAAGGGGGGCCCCCCCTTCCTGATGCTTATGGTTGTATTGTTAGTCTTGCCAGCAGCCAGCAGCAAAGAAAACTTTGTGTTGCTACTCAAGATCCTAGACTTAGGGAGAGACTCAGGTGCTGCTGCTGCTGCTGCTGCTGCTGCTGCTGTTTTTGCTGCTGCTGCTGCTGGCTCTGCGGCTGCTGGCGCTGGCTTCAAGCTCCTTTTGAATCGCCGTCGCTGCAGCAGCAGCTGTTAATGCTACTGCTGCTGCTGTTACTGCTGCTGCTGCTGCTGCTGCTGCTGCTGCTGCTGCTGCAG